GCAGCAGTGGCGCCACCTGCCAGAAAACCTAACATGTTCAGCGGAATCGTATTTAATTTTTTGAAAGGATATGACAACAACGGGGCAGCTAATACCAAAGTCAGTAGTCTGGGGGCGAAGCCAAAAACCAACGAAGTAAAAGCATCGAACGACAGAGACAATATCTGTTCATTATCAACGGAGCGTTCGGTATCTCATGTCAGCGGTAGGTCAGAGAGAGAAGGCCCAGTGAATAGAGCGGCGGCGCGGGTGGGGGGCGCGAGAGCTTCTAGTAACGCCAGTAGATGGCAGGCCGTGCGCAGGAAGATACGTGAGCCCACCTGGCTGCTGCACTACCAGGAGAGTGAGGTGTTTGAGATCGACGTGCCGACGAGCGACACGACTGACAACACTGATGCCGCGAGCGCGAGAACAGAGTCGGGCTCAGAAACCTCGCGTAAGGATACAGACAGTGAGTGTGAGGCGTCGTCCGAAAATGTGCATGGCAACACGAGCGACACAGACAGCGAGTATGATCCATCACGCGACAATGCTCATAGTAATGTGATACTTTTGATCGAAACAGACAGCGAGCATGAATCATCATCTGAAAATATTCGTAGTAATATGATATATGCAGACAGCGAGCATGACTCATCATCTGACCGTGTTCGTAGTAATATGATAGATATAGACAGCGAGTATGACATCGTTCCTGGAAGCATTAAGCTAGTGACTTTACATGCCTCTGCTAACAATTCTAATAACAACGTCGTCTCGTCGGAAAACCCTCAATCTTCCGGGAAGGTAGAAGACGTTAATGTTCCGTGGATTAAACCTCCGACACTGCCAACTTCCAAAGTCTTCGTCACCAAGGTTAGACAGCAGTTGAATAGGTACCAGTTGGCAGCGCTGAAATACGACTTTGAGAGCAACAGCAACATACGTAGCTTCTTACTGAGGGCACCCTATAGCGAGGGAAAAGATATGTATCGCTTATCCTTAGAGAGGGAGCCACCATATTAGTGGGGGCATGAGAAACTGGGGGGGGGGGGGTTCAAGAGCCGGCGTTTAGATCTCAGTTAGATCTCTTCTCAGCAGTGTGTAAGCTCTAAATATGTGCATGTAATATGTAATACGGAAGCTAGAAACATATAATTCAATCAATTATGTGTATGATGTTCGTATCTTTTTATTGTTATAATATATTTTACAGTCACACACATTTCACGTGCACAATCAGTATGTAAATCCACGTAGCCTTAGTAAGTATTTATTACAACTACAGTGCTGTACATTGAGCAAATGTGTAAAGCAAACGGGTACATACATGCCTTTTACCTTGATATATTTTAGTAATGTTGACTGGTTGAATTAGGAATGTAAAGTAGTTAATACTGACATTAAACTATATAGAAAGCCGGTACATCAGCATAAACCTCCAACTTTAATCACAGTGTGACTGGAGAAATACATTGTAGTATAATATGCAACTACACGCGTCTCTACATAGCACATATATTACTACATTGCACATGTTAAAGTCTACCTACTTGAGGTATAGACAAACTACTACTTAATTGTTTCCCCATGCAGAGACAGTACCGACATATGTACTCGAATATGATATACATCTGACAATACACAACCACTTCTTGATGTTATATAATTGCAAATTTATATTGGAATATGCATAAACATATACATATGCGAATCACAAGATTGCGCTGACATGACGTAATACGCGAGTATGAAAATGATAACAACTGAACTGGATGAAGATAGTTTTAGTTAATAATTCGGATGGTTAGGTGTTAGGACAGACAAGCGCAGAGGGACAGATAGCCGATAAATAATATGTAGAAAGTCAATCAGGGTTAGAGTTTTAGAAAATAAATGATAAATATAATGGTTCTTTTATAAAACAATACACTATCAGATCGATGTACAAGGGTCAATAAATTAATGCGTTACCATGCGCTGCTTATATGTCAAGAATGAATAAATTATAAATATGAAATCGCTGTACTCGTATCTCTAAATATATGTTCGAAAGCATAAAAACATTAGTGATTACTCTAGATTTCTCCAATTTTAAACAGCATTATGTCTAGAATTTATTCGTATCACTTGCCAGATGCCCTACACGTAATGTATGCACGACTAGACGCTTGATGTGAGGCATTATCACCGCGTTATGCGCACCAAAACTATAACCATGTTACACCCGAGCAAATACTGAGGCCACGGAGGTCAATACAAACATAGCGTTAAGTCTAGTCTATTTGGACTTCGCCACAGTCATTGTCAAGCAATGTAGGTTTCAGATATTTAATGTAATTAAAGAAATCATCTCAAGTAGTTTTATCTGGTTGATAATGTTGCAAATGACCAGAGTATGTCAATTTTATAGGTTAAAGTCGTAAGCATCAATGTAGCAGGAAATATTCAACTAAGTAGCGAGCTGTGATCGTGGACGTCACCTGTACTTTCAGCATACGGATAGTGCTGAAAATCAAGGTCATCGAATTCAGATTACGTTTGAGGAGAGTTTACTTTCCATAAGAGTAAGTATATGATAACACAGAAACTTAAACAGCATATGCTTCATAATGAGCATATAGCAGACACAGTATATCATGACAACAAGGAAAACAAGGAGAGAATATAATTGATTTAATATGGAAATTTGACCTAGTCATGAGAGCCTGAACTCGGTAGGCACGCCTGACCACTCAGAAATAACTGCTTAGAACCCATAACGTTTCAATCAAATGTTGAGACGAAAAGTTAGGACGTTATCAGGAGTAGAATAATAGCGCGTGTATGTCGCATTCCACTCCCAATGTCATCAACAAAATGGCTGGCGAACATTCGACTGCTCGCAACGGGATCTTTTAATTTATTTGTACGTATATACCAATAACGAGCTAAGGATCAGTCGAATTTGGCGTGTTGGGGATAGAACCCGGCCTCCTCTGTCCAGAAGTGGCACCTCTCCATGCGCGCCGCTCCCATCTCTCTCGGCGTCAGATCCTGACCGATCTCGCCCATCTTGCCCACTTGCCATACCGTCGGCATGCGATGCGTCTGCGCGAAGCGGATGAACGAGTTGACGAGTAGGAGCGTGAACTGTTCGTCTGCTTTTCCTGGTCCCTCGAGCTGCCCGAGCAGTGCCGCCACGTCGACGCCCCGCCGCGACGTCCGCCCGTACTTGTGTCGGTGCAGGAGTCTGTCCGGCTGGTAGTCGTACACGTAGAAGTGCGCCGAGTGGAAGGCAAGCCGAGCGACGGCGAAGAGTCGTTCTAGCGGGCAGGTGACACGCAGGTCGGCGAGGATTTGCTCTACCACCTTCCGCTTCCAGTGGCCTGCCTGCACGGTACACGTGCACGTGCGTGTCACAGTTAAGCCACAGTTATTCGTTTATAGATGCACATAATATACACACGTACACACACACACATGGTGCAATGCTCGTGTATGGCAAAGGTACCGAGTTTAAGAATCGTATAGGTAAAGAGTATACTTCGAAAGTGGAAAGATACTTATAGAGACTGATATGTTTCAAAAACATTCAACTATCACTGAATTTACGAGAATTGTCCCGTATGCTTTTCTGTATAGACTGTTTCCGGGTGCCGCCAACCTCCCCGTCTCGAGGGAAGATGCGCACGCTGCTCTGTCGGCGCAGGGAGCGGGAGCCAGTCTCCCCGCGTCCGATGCAGCAGGGCAGCGCGAGGTAGCAGCCAGTGTTAGCTCCTCTGATTGCAGCATTGATATAGACACGGCTGTCACCTCTTTCCAAGGCACACAGTCTCCGTCTGAGCCTATATCAGGTAAGGCCGGCCATCTGACGGAGGTTATAACACGAGTGCAGCACTCTCAGGTGATCTCATGCAATTCAAATGTAGGTAACACGGGTGCAACAGTATCTGGTCATCTCATGCAATTCAAATGTAGGTATTGCAACACTGGTGCAGCAGTATTTTGTAATCTCAATGCACCTTGTCGAATTAAAATAGTTCACTAATCGCCAATCTATCACGAATATTGTACATTTATGTTGATCATGCCCGCGGCCAATGTTGCGCACAAAATGGTGACTCTGATTCCTCATACGGTGTGACTTCCAAACTCTAGCACACGAAAGGCAACGAAGAAAGAGCGTTACTGTTAAGATGAAGACGACACTGACGTCGATACTGAAACGCAAGAAGCCATCCCGGCTCAGGAGAATGCGCGGCCTACGCAGCGAACGCGCGCGCGCTACCCCAGCGCCCTCGCAGCAAGCTAGCGATGACGTCACACGCCAGGGCACGCGTGACGTCACGCCGATCTTCGCCTCGCAGTTTGCCACGTGCAAACCTCGTGCTAAGAGAGCCACGGGTCGCACGGGAGTACTCGCCCACATGGGACTGCTGCCCAGTAAGTCGGCGGAGCCGCGAGACCACTGGGGGGCGCTAGGGGGCGTGCGACGCCTCACGGACGCCGACTCGGAGGCGATAGCGCACGAACTTATCCTGATAGACAAGGAGCTGCTAGTGCGTGTCAGGTGCACCTCCGTGACGGCACTGAAGTGGCTCCACCGCGACAGGGTAAATATTAGACGCTAAATTATCACACCAACTGCCATGTGCCTTCTCTTAGTAGTTAATTAACGACTGCCCTCGTAACTACAATAGAATGGAAAATATTATGTTGTTGGGTCGCGCTATTTAGTTGGTTGTAGCTCAGATCTATATACAGATCTGTTAAATATCTATCTATCTATCTATCTATCTATTTGATCTATCTATCTTATATACATCAATATAGCATATTGAGCACGTTTTAAAGGAAGAGAAAAGATAGGAAAAGGGGAGTAGATGGAGGAAGGAATGGAGAAGTGAGAATGGACAGGGAAGTAAAGGTGGGTAGGGAGGAGAATGTTGGGAGAGAGGGGGACGAGGTGAAGGAGAGACGGGGGTCTGGGGTGGGAGGGACAGGGGCAGAGGAGAAGGAAGTAAGGAAGGGAGAGGGAGCTAGGTGAGGGAGGATGAGGGTCTGGTGGTTTCCTCTTGCCTCTTGGCTTCTAACGTGCTATCGATCACCGTGAGCCAGTAGGCCTATTACACGTCACATCATAGATGTGGGAAACAGATATCCGGTGCAGACTAACCAAGCGTGCGTCACTGTGTAAGCCATCTCATGCATAATGTTGTTTTCTCCGCCAAGGAAGTTATGTTTTCGCCCCTGTTAGTTTGTTTGTTGGTTGGTTTGTTGGTTTGTTTGTCTGTCAACAGGATATATCTCAAAAAGTTACGGACGGATTTTGATGAATTTTTTTGGACGGGTTGGTCTTTGGCCAACAACCATTCAATTAGATTTTGGTGGTCATCTGGATCCAGATCTGGATCCAGGAATTTTTTTGTTTTTGTTTTGTTTTGTTTTGGTTGTACCAGCAAAATGATGGGACTGTTAAACTGTGGCGGATGTTTGCTATCTCCGATTGCTCTTGTTTAATTGTGTACTGAGTAACGAGCAAGCCTCACCGACTCCGGATCACCTCCGAATGCTCGTATGTTATCCCGCACCCATTCCAGCGCTGCAATCTGGTCCATCAGTCCATAGTTGCCAGACGTATATGAGTGAGAGTTGCTAGCTAGGCCGTCTAGTGCTAGGAATCCCAGCGCTCCCACTCTGTAGTTAAAACTGACCTGGAGAGTGATGGGTTTAGAAAGAAAGTATTACATTATGTGAATTATAATTGAGGTTGTTACAAGCACTGTTCAGTGACAGCCTAGCCGGTATGATAACTGTATAATTCATAATCTAATAGTAGACCTATGTGATAACGTTGATATCTGCTTCTTTTTTTTCTAGATTGAAGGAATTTAAACGTCCGATAATTTCTGAACAGTTTTCATACAGGGTCTTACCCAAACCATATTTGTGATCTTTGTCTGTTGAGCATTAGGTCCCCACTCTAACGTATCCTCGTCTCTTCCAATAAACTGGTCTCCGTGGATGTAAACCACAACTAAACAATGCAACAGTAATTATATGCAATTACATACTCAACGTTACAATGTATCACAGGCTAATACATCATGACATATTATACTCTTTGTATTACAGACTGACATGTCTGTACTATAATAATATCCTCTTTTTTTCCATAGACATTTTGCATCATATATCTGTTATTGAAATCGTACCTGGCAGTGCGGTTGTGTGTTTTTGGCGTTTGAGATCCGGAGTCCACACATTAAGTGTCAAACAATCTTCACTCATATTTCCTTTCAGTGGCGATAATTCCTTCATAGTTCCTTCCCCCTGATAGCAAGCGGGTGCCGCCTTGGTTCCATCAAATGTGCCATTCCAACATGAATCGAGTGAGTGCAGGGGGTTAGGGGGACGCCACCGCATTGTCCCTACAGGTGGTTCTGCGTATGGAATCCCACGAAACACCAGGACGTCTCCCTCATGCTTTCCTGCAATAGAAGATGATTTCATGTATAGCACGAAGGGAACGGGCCATAAATCGTCCCTGATACTAATGGAACCTTTCATATTTGATATCGATGAGTTTTTAGTTCTGCTTTGTGCGACTAACGATGACAACTATGCAGCAACCATGACAAATATGACGAAGACGATAATGTCACTAATAACGGTGACGATAACTATGACCATGACGTTGACGATGAAAGTGACGATGGTGATGACGACGATTGTGGATATTTATTACGGACAATTAACTCAATATGATGCAGAAACATCATATATGCAGTCACAGGCAGATCCACCGTAGCCATCACAAGTCATCGTGTTGTAACGTACCAGTGACGAGTCCACAGCCGATAAACACGGTGGCGGACGCCTCCTCGAAGGCTTGCGTGTTTTTCTGCGTAGTTGTGGAGATGACGACGATGACGATGATGGCGAGGACGAAGGCGAACAGCACGATGGCGACGGCCTTCAGCTGGTCGCAAGAGATGGCGCAGCACGGGAAGTAGTGCACGACTCTACTCCGCGGCGTCTCGTGTAGAGGCTCCTTAACATCCACCTATAACGCAGCAACGATGCAGAACCGTGTATCCAACGATACAGGACCGTGAATACAACGATACAGAATATACAGGACCGTGTATCCAACGATACAGAATATACAGGACCGTGAATACAACGATACAGAATATTGTTGACAGTGTTACTGTGTAGTGTCATATACGTTGACAGTGTTACTGTGTAATGTCATATACGTTGACAATGTTACTGTGTCGCATCACATACGTTGACAATGTTACTTGTGTCGCATCATACACTCGTATATCATACATGTCGTTTTATTACTGTGGGTAAAGTTTAGCCACAAGTTACCTTCTCGCTTCTCATCACGTGACGAAAAGTGACGTGAAACAGTGAACGATTTAAAACAGTCGTAAAGCCTGGTCGTGCTGAGTAAAGCTTGTCTAAATGTACTGTGGCGGTGGCACCGGTCACCACGGTAAATGAGAGGTAGCTCACTGGGTACCACAGGCAGGGTATGTGTAGATGTTCTGTGTCTGTGATTGTATAATTATTTGTGATGTTTACGGTCTTTTAGTATTGTATAGTATTGTTTGTTTGCTCACACTGTGTTGTTGTACACGCATCCGGACATACTAGGTGAGTGTTCTTACCTTACGTTACCTTAGGTTACGGCTATTCACTACGTTTCGACTAGTGGTGCCATCGGGCGTCACCAAGAGAGGCTAAAACGCTACACGTACCTATAATGATGGGAACATCGTTCATGATTTTCCTCTGCCACAGATCAACGATGTCGGCTGCTACGATGTGACCTGAACATGACAACATATAGCGACAGTTACTCACACATAATACTGCGTCGGAAACAACCGCTCTCCAGACATGGAATAGCTAGGAGTGTTGTTGGAGCCAGGCTAATCGAGAGAAGGTTATCATATAGCTACAGATGTTATAGCTCTCCTCTACCAAAAGAGAGGCTCGCTGGATTCATTTTCATATAACACTAACACCAACACGTGGGCTGCTCAAGCCACGCACTCAAATCCCAGACCGGATAGATTCGGATATCCCTTCCACGTATTTATCTTCCTTTCTTTTCCCTCCCTTTTGTTCCACATAGACATTCCAGCATGTGTGTGGACAATCACATTATCCCGTTTCCTTTATTATTATCATGGCTACAGCTGTTGTAGGGGTCAGGCTACGAAGATATCACATGGTGTATGTAGCTGTGCTCACCGTCCACGATAGCTAGAGTCCTGGGTTGTTCGTCGGGTGTGGGCATTCGGGTGTAGTCAGTGAGTGGGGGCTGAAAGGCCTGCATGACCGTCGCAGGAGGCTGCCTCCTCGCGCACTCTACATCGTTGCAGCCTAGATTACTGGTGAATAGAGAAATACGGTGTAAGCCATGTAGCGTGGTAGCCTCGTGTAACCTTACAAGCAGCTAACGTGAGAATTAGCACCCGTTTATCCACGAGCCTAGTTCCATGAAACAGTCATGTGTTACACGACTGAATAAACTGGTATATGTATATGTATATATATATATATATATATATATACATATGCGTATTAGTTTCAGACGTGCCACGTTACTCTGACGCATACATCTCACGGTTTGTCGTTAACAACTATCGAGATGAATTTACCTCATAAGTTGCAGGTTGTCCTGGTAGATGGCGGCACGTGTCCGTGGATTGAACCCCGCGGCAGGGCTGCTCAGCCAGGCAGCGTGGTAAAGGCCGCGAGCCAACGGAGTGGTCAGCAAAGCCACGATAGATGTTGCTCCTGACCCTTGACCTAGCAGTGTCACCTGTATAGTAATATACACATATGTACATTATACAACATACATATATAATACAGCTATCCATCCCTTATCCTCCTCATGTCAGGGCCGTAGGCCTGAGCAAATGTCTAGGGGGACGAAGGCTGGCGGACCCAGGATTCAAGGAGCGGGTGAGAAAGCAGGTGCGGGTTCTGGGGCGGCCTCCCACAACAATTTTTGAAATGCTTAGATCGCAGCAGGGGCGTAAGCAGCCGAATTTTTCAAAAGTTGTAGCACGACTAATACGGGGCGGAGCCCAGCATCGTTGGCGCAGCGTACAAGAAAAATTTGTTAGTTTTACAAACCCCAGATCGCCGCGAAACGGCCCCTTCCGAGTCTTTCATTCTGTATCCCTCGCTTCTTCCTAACTTGAGACACCTCATTCAATATCACTTTTAAACCCAAAAAACACAAACGAGCTTTAAAATAGTGTACGAACGAGTTAAAAATGTTAAAAAAAACTGACAAAAAGATCGATCCTAGTCTTTTCGGCGGGTTTTAGACAGTGTTGAATGAAACGGCCACGCCGATAGAAAATGACAGCCTAGATGATAGCGAAGCAATAGTCACCTAATTTAAGCCATTTATCTTGCTACGTTCATTTCAATAGTTTTTCCTGCCTTAGACTCTTAAACTCGTCCCAGCAAGCTTATGCGCATTAAATTATGGCCCGTGTTTAAAAAAAAAGATAACTGGGCCAAAAAAAGCTGTAGCCCGGCCCTACAGTTGCTACAATACTGCGCTACGCCCCTGCGCAGACGCATGCGCTATTTTGAAGGCACTTTTAGTACATGTACAGCCTTCATTCGAGCTATCGACAATTTCTCTTTAGTAGAACAATTTATTTTTTAATTCCCCCAGGCTACGGCCCTGCCTTGCTCCCATACTATATTGATGTTCTATACGTACTTATATACCATTATTACATACATAATTCATATACAACCCTAGGAATTAATTCCAATGGAATTATAAGCTCACACATTGAAAGTCGCCACGGCACGGCCAATTCAGCACATGTTAATTTAGCAAATCAATTACAGTAGTCTGTAGGTAATATATAGGTACGGATAGCAGCCTGGAGCAGCCAGCCATTTATGAGGTATGAACTTAGGCTCAAGCCAGGAATTGCTACATACATTCAAGGCCCGGCTAGCCAGGGGGCGTTCGGGCGGCCGTTCGAAACGAACCCCCCCCCCCCGAGCCCCCTTCCCCCCAATACGAGGAAAATTTTTTTTTTGACAAATTGCAAGAATTTCACCTCAGAGTCGCTCGCATTTTAGCTGTAATAATTGCAAAAGCTCCATCGTGGCGCGGAGGTGAACCAGTGAACACACCCCCCTCCCACACCTCCCGACGGCTCGGTCGCTTGCCTCCCTCGCCTGGTCGCTTCCGCGCCCGAGCAGCGGGCGTGTACAGGCGGGCGGCTCCAGGGAGTCCGGACCCCCCCTTGGCCTCGCCGCACGAAAACGCATCTGCAAGACGGCCGTGCTAATGTTTAAAAAATATTTCTGGGGAGCGGCCCCCCAAGACCCCCCCTTTCGCCTCGCAACTATGGGTTACGGTTAGACCCCCCCTAGCCGCTAAAACAAATCCTGCTTACACGCCCCTGCCGAGCAAATTACACACAATTGAAAAACGACAACCCCCCCCATAGGAAAGCCTGGCCCACGGCCTGTACCATGATAGTATATATACTAATATATATATATATATATATATATATATACATCAATATAGCATATTGAGCACGTTTTAAAGGAAGAGAAAAGATAGGAAAAGGGCAGTAGATGAGGAAGAATGGAGAAGTGAAATGACAGGCGAAGGGATAATAGGTGGGCGTAGGGGAGGAGAATGTTGGGAGGAGAGGGACGCAGTGAAGGAGAGACGCGGGTCTGCGGGTGGAGGCGGACAGGGGCCAGAGGCCAGAAGCGAAGTAAGGAAGGAGAGGAGCTAGCCTGAGGGAGGATGAGGCCGTCTGGTGCCGTTTCCTCTTGCCGCTTGGCCTTCTAACGGGCTATCCGATCACCGTGAGCCAGTAGGGCCTATACACGTCACATCATAGCCATTGGGAAACAGATATACCGCTGCCCCAGACTAAACAAGCGTGCGTCACTGTGTAAGCCATCTCAATGCATAATGTGTTTCTCCGAAGGAAGCTTATGTTTTCGCCCCTGTTAGTTTGTTTGCTGCGTTGGTTGTTGGTTTGTTTGTCTGTCAACAGGAATATATCTCAAAAAGCTTACGACGCGATTTGATTGAATTTTTGACGGCGTTGCCGTCTTTGCCCAACAAACCAATTCAATTACGATTTTGCGTGGTCATCTGGCCATCCAGATCTGCCCGATCAGGAATTTTTTGTTTTTGTTTTGTTTTGTTTATAGGTTGTACCAGCAAAATGATGCGGACTGTTAAACTGTGGCGATGTTTGCTATCTCCGATTGCTCCTTGTTTAATTGTAACTGAGTAACGAGGCAAGCCTCACCTGACTCCGATCACCTCCGAATCGCTCGTATGTTATCCCGCACCCATTCCAGCGCTGCAATCTGCTCCATCATGTCCATAGTTGCCAGACGTATCATGAGCTGAGAGCTTTGCTAGCTAGCGCCGTCTAGTGCTAGCGCAATCCAGCGCTCCCACTCTGTAGTTAATAACTGACCTGAATTGATGGTCGTTTAGAAAGAAAATATATACATTATGTGGAATATAACTTGAGCGTGTTACAAGCACTGTTCAGTGACAGAGCCTAGCACGGCTATGCATAACTGCTATAATTCATAAATTAAATAGTAGACCTATTGATAACGTTGATATCTTTTGCTTCCTTTTTTTTTTTTTTTTTTTTTTCTAGATTGAAGAAACGCCGATAATTTCTGCAACATGTTTTCATACAGGGTCTTACCCAAACCATATTTCGTGATCTTTGTCTGTTGAGCATTAACGGTCCCCACTCTAACGTATTCCTCGTCTCTTGCCAATAAACTCGTCTCTGTGGATGCTAAACCACAACTAACAATGCAATTATAATTATTATGCCAATTACAATTACTCAACGTTACAATGCTATTCACAGGCTAATAAACATCATGACATATTATACTCTTTTGATATCAGCACTGACATGTCTGTACTATAATAAGTATCCTCTTTTCATAGACATTTTGCTATCATATATCTGTTATTGAACATCGCTATCCTGGCCAGTGCCGGTGTGTGTGTGTTGGCGTTTGCAGATCCCGGAGTCCACAACATTAAGTGTCAAAGCATCTTCACTCATATTCCTTTCAGTGGCCGATAATTCCTTCATAGTTCCTTCCCCCTGATAGCAGCGGCGTGCCGCCTTGGTTCCATCAAATGTGCCATTCCAACATGAATCGAGCTGCAGTGCAGGGGGTTAGGCGGACGCCACCGATTGTCCCTACCAGGTCCGTTTCTGCGTATTAGAAGTCCACGAAACCCACCAGCGCACGGTCTCCCTCAGCTTTCCTGCAATAGAGCGATGTTTCATGTATAGCACGAAGGCGAAACGGGCCCCATAAATCGTCCCTGATACTAATGCCGAACCTTTCATATTTGATATCGATGCAGTTTTTAGCTTCTGCTTTGCTGCGAACTAACGATTGACAACTATGCAGCAACCATGACAAAATATGACGAAGACGCATACATTCACTAATAACGGCTGACGATAACTATGACCATGACGTTAGACAATCATGAAAGTGACGATGGTGATGACGACGCATTGTGGATATTTATTACGCGACAATAACTCAATAGATGCAGAAACATCATATATGCATCCAGCAGTCCACCGCTAAGCCATCACAAGTCATCGCTGTTGTAACGTACCAGCTGACACGAACGTCCACAGCGATAAAACACCGGTGGCGGACGCCTCCCCTCGAAAAGGCTGTCGCTGTTTTCTGCGTAGTTTCGTGCGGAGATGACGACGATGACGATGATGGCCGAGGACGATAGGCCAACAGCACGCATGGCCGACGCCTTCAAGCTGCGTCGCAAGAGGATTGCGCGCAGCACGCAAAGTAGGCCACGACTCATACTTCCGCTGCGATCTCGCGTAGAGGCTCCTTAACATCCACCTATAACCAAGAACACTGCAGAACCGTGGTATCCAACGATTACAGCCGCACCGTGAATACAACGATACGAGAATATACAGGACCGCTTGTAGTCAAACGATACAAAGTATACAGACCGTGAATATCAACGATACAGAATATACAGACCGGTGTATCCAAAACGATACAGGAATATAGCACGACCGTAATACAACGATACAGCAATAACAGCGGACCGTGAACTCCAACGATACAGAATATACGAGGACCGTGAATACAACGATACAGAATATACAGGACCGTGTAGTACAACGATACAGAATAATACAGCGACCGTAATACAACGATACAGAATATTACAGGACCTGTATATAACCAGTAACAGAATATACGCCGACCGTGATACAACGATACAGAATATACGCGCCGACGTAATACAACGATACAGAATATACAGCGACCGTGTATACAAAACATACAGATATACAGCACCGTGTATACAACGCATACAGAATATACAGGCGACCGTGCTATACACACGATACAGAAATATACAGGACTCGTGCTAGTACAAGACGATACAGAATAACAGGGACCGTGTAACAACGATACAGAATCATACAGCGACCGTGTATACAACGATGGCAGAATATACAGATTACAGCGACCGTGTAATACAACGATACAGGGAATATAACCAGGACCGTTATATACAACGCATACAGAATATACCAGGACCCGTGTAACAACGATACAGAATATACAAGACCGTGTATACAACATACAGAATATACAGCGACACGTGTATACAACATACAGACATATACAGGACCGTGCTACTACAACGATACAGAAGTAACAATGCACCGTGTATACAACGATACAGAATATACAGGACGTGCGTATACAACGATACAGAATATACGCGGACTGTGCTATACAAACGATACAGAATATACAGCGCACCGTGCTATTACAGACGATTACAGAATTACTACAGGGACAGTGTATACAACGATACAGAATATACAGGACGCGTGCCATATACAAGCGACTGCAAATACAGATTACAAGGCACCGGTGTATACAACGATACAGAATATACAGACCGTGGTATACCAACGAACAGAATATACAGGAACCCTGTATACAAGCGCATACAGAATTATACAGGCACCGCTGTATACAACGCATACAGAATATACAGGACCGTGTATACAACGCATACAGAATATACAGACCGTGTATTGACAACGATACAGAATATACATGCACCGTGTATACGAACGACTACAGAATATACAAGGACGTGTATACAACCATATCAGAACTATACGGACTGTGTATACAACGCATACAGAATATTACCAGCGACCGTGTATACACCGATACAGAATATACCAGGACGTGTTATACAACCGATACAGCAATATACAGGACCGGTATACAACGATACAGGAATATACAGCGACCGCTTTATACAACCGACTGCAGAATTATACAGATTACAAGGCAACCGTGTATACGAACCGATACACGAATATCAGGACGTGATACAACGAATACAAGAAGTATACAGGACTCGCCTGTTATACAACGACTACAGAAATGATACAGACCGTGGACTACAACGATACAGCGAATATACAGGACCGTGTTATCACACACGCATACAGAATAATGACAGACGACCGTTTTCGTATACAACGATACACGAATATAACATGACCGGTATTTACAACGATACATGAACTATACAGGACCGTGTAGTACAACGATACAGGAAATATAACGCGGACTGTAGCTATACAACCGACTACAGAATACTACAGGCCCGTGTATCCAACGATACAGCGAATATACCGACCGTGTACTACAACGATGCAAATTACGGACCGGCTGTATTACAACGGATACAGTGAATATACAGAACCGCTGATATACAACGATACAGCAACGATAGCAGGACCATGCTACTACAACATACAGAATCATACGAGGACCGTGTATACAACGCATACGAATAATAGCAGGGACCGTTATACAACGATACAGGAATATGACAGGACCGTGCTAAAACAACGATACAAATAGACGGACCGTGTAGTACAACAACAGAGAAGTATTACAGGACCGTACTGTATGTACACACGATACCAGGAATATACAAGACCATTATACAACGATACAGAATACTCCACAAGGACCGATGTATACAACGCATACAGAAATATACAGGACGCGTGGTAGACAACATACACGAAGATACAGACCGCGGTGTATACAACGCATACAGAAGTTATACAGCAACCGTGATATACACGATACAGAAAATATAAAGGACCGTTACTTACAAACGATACAAATCTT